TCAGCGGCAGTGTAGACGCAGGTATAGTTTTGTCGACAAAAATCCCTGTCTAGACACACCCTAAGGGTGTGTCTCAATTACATGGCTCCATCGATGGAACCATGTAGATTAGGCTGATCGGCAAAGGGAAACGAAGCCGCGATATAAATAATCACGGCTTCATTTAAATTTAAATGGCTGCCGCGCTGAGCCGACAAGCAGCTGATCAGCTGTTTGTTGGCTCACCGCACTAGTCTGGACGCTCCCACGCCGACCTGAAAGCCCTTTATCGACCTCCCCGTTATGCCTCGTAGGATGAGGTTTACTGGAGAGGTCGATAAAGGGCTTTCATGTCGGCAGAGGAGCATCCAGACTAGTGCACTGAGCTGACAAACAGCTGATCAGCTGTTTGTCAGCTCAGCGCGGAAGCCATTTAAATTTAAATGAAGCCGCGATTATTTAAATCACGGCTTCATTTCCCTTTGCCGAACAAACACTACATGGCTCCATCGACGGAGCCATGTAGTTTATACCTTGAAAAACCCATCCCTTCTACTCTCAACTCCTCTATTGACTTTGAATGAGATTTGGGCATCTAGCTGTCTTAGGTTCATCTGAAAAATCCCGCCAACCATGCTGATCGACTTGTTAAGCCGGACCAACCCCCAACTAAATCACTCCATCCCGCTAGACTCTCTCTGGTGTGGACACATCCTTTCTTTAACAGGGACCCCAGAATTAGATTCAATACTCTAGATGTGGCTTCGAGTGTCTGGATTTTGGCTAATAGACAATCAGATTTGGGAGTTTTTTAAAGAACATTGCCTGGTGGGAGAGAGAAAGCTTGTATCCTCCCAGATCTGTCATAGACTCATAGAACTGGAAGGATCTCTAGAGGTCATTGAGTCCAGTCCCCCGCCCTCATGGCAGGACCAAGCACCATCTAGATCATCCCTGACAGGTGTCTGTCCAACCTGCTCTTCCATATCTCCATGGATGGAGATTCCACAACCTCCCTGGGCAATTTATTCCAGTGTTTAACCACCCGGACAGTTAGGAACTTTTTCCTAATGTTCAAGCTAAACCTCCCTTGCTGCAGTTTAAGTCCATTGCTTCTTGTCCTGTCCTCAGATGCCAAGGAGAACAAGTTTTCTCCCTCCTGCTTATGACACCCTTTTAGGGTATGTCTACACTACAGCATTATTTCGAAATATCTAATTTCAAAACAGTTCATTCGAAATAGCTTATTTCAAAATAACGCATCTACACACAAAATGCATTTCAAAATAGCGTTTTTCTATTTCGAAATAGCGTATCAACACTGAGAGGACGTTGAATCGCATTTAAGGCTCATTGGAATCAGTTCCTGCAGGGTATCAGGTCAGAAGTTACCTTGTGGCCAGGGCGGCCAGCAGGGCACCCTGGGAAGGACTGGAGGCCCCCTATTTTGAAATAAGCGTCTACACAGCGCTTATTTCGAAATAGCAGTTTCGAAATCGGCATTATTCCTTGTAGAATGAGGTTTACCAATTTCAAAATAAATCCTCCGCTATTTTGAATTAGTTTCCAAATAACGGAATGGCTGTGTAGACGCTAGGAAAGTTATTTCGAAATAACTTTGTTGTGTAGACATACCCTTAGATTGAAAACCGCTCTCATGTCCCCTCTCAGTCTTCTCTTTTCCAAACTAAAGAAGCCCAATTCTATCAGTCTTGCCTCATAGCTCATGTTCTCTAGACCTTTCATCACTTTTGTTGCTCTTCTCTGGACCTTCTTCTCTCCAAATTCTCCACATCTTTCCTGAAATGTGGTGTCCGGAACTGGACACAATACTCCAACTGCAGCCTAATCAGTGCAGAGTAGAGCGGAAGAACGACTTCTCGTGTCTTGCTCACAACACTCCTTCTAATGCAGCCCAGAATCACATTTGCTTTTTTTGCAACAGAGTCACACTGCTGACTCATTTAGCTTGTGGTCCATTCTGACCCTTAGATCCCTTTCTGCAGGACTCCCTCCTAAACAGTCACTTCCCATTCTGTGTGTGTGACACAGATTTTTCCTTCCTCAGTGGAGCACTTTGCATTTGTCCTTATTAAACTTCATCCTATTTCCCTCCGACCATTTCTCCAGTTTGTCCAGATTCATTTGAGTTATGACCCATCCTCCAAAGCACTTGCAACCTCTTCCAGCGTGGTATCCTCTGCAGACTTCATACGCATCCTCTCTACGCCAATCGATCTATTCCTCTCTTTATCTAGTTATCCATCCATCTGACTAATTGTCTGTCCATCCATTCAATTGTCTTGTCCATTGCGATTTCCATCAATTTTTAACTTCATCTGTTCTTCGTTCCACCAGTTACCTCCCCATTTGGTTCGCTCACTGCCCATGTACACTTGTGTGAATCTGACTTGCAAGAGCTCTCCATCTATCCCACCATAGAATCCTAGAGCTGGAAGAGACCTCAGGAGTCATCAAGTCCAGCCCCCTGGCCAAGGCAGGACCAACTCCAACTAAATCAACCCAGCTATGGCTTTGTCAAGCTGAGACTTAAAAACATCTAGGGATAGAGATTCCACCCCCTCCATAGGGAACCCATCCCAGCGCTTCCCCACCCTCCTAGGGAAATAGCTTTTCCTAGTGTCCAACCTAGACCTCTTCCCCTGCAACTTGAGACCATCGCTCCTCATTCTGTCACCTGCCCCCACTGAGAACAGCCTCTCTCCATCCTTTTCGGAACCCCTCTGCAGGAAGTTGCAGGCTGCTCTCAAATCCCCCCTCGCTCTTCTCTTCTGCAGACTAAACAAGCCCAAATCCCTCAGCCTCTACTCATAGGTCATGCGCTCCAGCCCCCTGATCCTGGTGTGGTCTAGCTGGTTAAATGTGTCGACACTGCCATTTTCTGTTGGCCTTGGTGGACCCATCTCTAAGGGAGGGGGACTTCCGTGGGCAGGGGCTGCTGAGAGGAACTATGTCATGCTTACAGGGACTCCGTTCAATTTAAAGTTATATCTTGATTGATTGATTTTATTTTTTTTTTGGTTACCAAGGAATATTCCTTCTTGCTCAGTGTGCAACTAGTTTTGCAGGCAGAGCAGATGGGAATTGGACCTGACACGAAGCTGTAACACGTTAATAAGGGCAGCAACAGCAAGGGAATAGAGTGAAGTGAATGTTATTCAAGTCCCTGGTGACTGATCCAATTAGTGGCCATGAACAGTCTGTCCATGGTGCTTGACCATAAAGATGCGGCTGTTTCTATCAGTCTGATCACGGCACCTGGAGCAACCAGTCCCCAGAATGAAGGAACGCTGAGACGATTAATTGGGAACATGTTCCTTTCATTAGTGTTTTGCGTTGGAGCGCATCATTCACAACACGGAATGAAAACCCGGCTTCATTATGTGCTTGTGAAAACCATCTCATTAGCAACCCACAAAGAAAAAGCTCCAATTAACCCAGTGGCCCCCTAGAGACTTACAATAGCGCATACAGGTCGTTAGAACATCGCATGCCTTAACGGGACTGTGCGAATTGTCAAAGCCAGCCGAGGCCTGGAAGATGGGTCAGACGTCTCAAGGAATGACATGACCAATGTTACTTGCTATTTTAACAGGTCCCAGAAGGACCACGAGAAGAGAAATATCTGGAAATGTCCGTCTCCGTGGCAGCTTCTGTGATTAGAAAGGAAAGTCGGAGGCGTGGATTAAAAATGGATGTAGGAAGAAATGGGTTTGTCCCTGACAAAGGCCAGTCCTTCCTCTGTAAAATCCACCCTAGTGAGGCAAGGCCGGGGGAGAAGAGGTGGCTGTGAAACTGACATTTAAACAAACCGGGGCATCCCACGAGGTTACCATGACCTTGGGCAAGAGGCAACACTGGGTGTCCGAGACCAGCCCATGTACCTGGGCTGTGATACACTTTGCTGTCCTGCCCATGATGCCCCTTTGTGTTTTCATGATTATCAACAGGGCCCTACCAAATTCATAGCCCTTGGACCATGAGATGTGGTGGCCTTCCGTGAAATCTGGCCTTTGACTCTACACTATACAGATGTCACGGGGGAGACCAACGTTTCTCAACTTGGGTGTCCTGACCCTAAAGAGAATGGCAGGAGGGTCATGAGGTTATTTTAGGAGGGTCACCGTATGGCCACCCCGATGTCTGTGCTGCCTTCAGACCTGGGCGATGGCAGAGGGGTGTTTGCAATGCTGTACTTCCTTCAAAACCCAAATAAACCATTTTCTCTTGGCAAGATTAAACCTAGACTTTTTTTTTCTATTTTTTCCATTAAAATACCACTTTCTGTGAAGAAAATTTAGAACACTAATACAGGCTGAACCTCTCCAGTCCAGAACTCTCTGATCCAGAAACATCCATGGTCCAGCATGATTTGAGTTAGCAGGATGTCCACTTTTCATGGGTGTGGCAAAGTTTCCCACGGCCCCATAAAGTTTGTTTATAGCTCTCAGTGTCCTGGCTCTCAGTGTTTCATGCTGTTCTTTAGCTCTGATTTACCCCTGAATGTCCTCTAACAGCCCAATAAGCAGTGAAAATGTGAGTTTGCTGCTAGACAGTATTGACTTTCCATTGTCCAGAAAACTCTCTCATTCAGAATCGGTCGGGTTCCGAGGGTGCCGGACTAGAGAGGTTCTATCTGTATGTGATAAAAATGCTTGTTAAAAACTTTTGGCCAACTGTAGGAGTTGCTTCTAGTTTATACTGGGGTGAGAGAGAGGACAATCAGTCTCACGGACTTGACAAAAGTTACTCCACAGGTATCGCAGGATGAGAGAAGGGAGAGTAAAGTACAAACTGTGTGATTTTTTTGGAAAGCTAAGTTGCTCAAATTCACCTGTAGAGGAAGTGGATCCCAAATCCCATTGGTATCTGTGAGGTTTCAACCTAAAGAATTTCTGGACACAAATGCATAGGTACAGATACTTTGTCCTTTACACGAGCTTGGGTTTTTTGATCTTTTACCACCCATTCAATGTAGCTTTCTTCTAGACTTAACCACATTAAGATTCCTTGGGAAACTTGAATTTTGCAAATAGCTTCCAGAGAGCCATTTTCACATCCTTGTTCTTCAGGCTATAGATGATGGGGTTGACCATGGGGGTTAAGATGCTGTACTGGATGGAAATTATTCTATCAAAGCCAGACACTTCAGAAGTAGGCTTCATGTACCGGAAACAACCTGTGCCATAGAATAACACAACCACAATGAGGTGGGAACTACAGGTAGAGAAGGCTTTCCGCCTGCCTTTTGCAGTGTGTATCCTCAGGATGGCAGAGATGATGTAAGTGTAGGACACGAAGGTGAGAAGGAAAGAGCTTGATCCAAAAATTATAATAGATGTAAGAAGCACCAATTTAGGCATCAGTGTCTCTGAACAGGACAAGATCAAGAGCAGAGGGGGCTCGCAGCTGAAATGGTTGATTTCGTTAGGACCACAGAAATGCAAGCTTAATATGGACAAAGTGTTGGCCAACGCGTACAAGAACCCAGATAGACAAGAGCCACCAAGCAAGTGACCACAGACTTGTTTATTCATGGTCCCTACATAATGCAAGGGGTTACAGATGGCAGCGTATCGATCATAGGCCATCGCCGAGAGGATGAAAACCTCAGTGCCTCCTGAGAAAAGAAAGAAGAAGTTCTGTACAATGCAGCCGTTGACTGATATTGTCTTTCTCTCAGCTAGGAAGTTCTGCAGCATCTTCGGGACTGTGACGGAGGAGTAGCAGATGTCAACCAAGGATAAATGGAACAGGAAAAAGTACATGGGGGTATGGAGTTGAGGATTGAGCCTTATCAGCAGGATAATCATCATGTTCCCGAGAAGGGTTATAACGTAAATAACCAGAAACACCAGAAAGAGGAAAATCTGCAGCTGTGGGTTACTGGAAAGTCCTAGGAGAACAAATTCTGTCACCACAGTTTGGTTTTCCATGTTCATAATTGTGAGCTGTAAAACATAAAATGAAAGATGCGTGTAATGAATAGGTCCCTGCCAATTCTTAGCCCTTCCCCATGAACTCATAGAGTCATAGCATCCTAGGGTTGAAAGAGACCTCAAGAGGCATCAAGTCCAGCCCCCCTGCCCGAAGCAGGAACAACCCCAACTTGATCATCCCAGCCAGGGCTTTGTCAAGCCGAGACTTAAACACCTCTAGGGATGGAGATTCCACCCCCTTCTGAGGGAACCCATCCCAGTGCTCCCCCATCCTCCTAGGGAAAACTTTTTTCCTAATATCCAACCTAGACCTCCCCCACTGCAACTTGAGACCATTGCTCCTTGTTCTGCCAACTGCCCCCACTGAGAACAGCCATCAACCCTGGTTCCTGGGAGCATCCCTCAAAGAGGATGTCTAGCTCTGGCAGGAGACCTCTGAAGGCAGCACAGACGTGAGGGTGACAATCCCATGATCCCCTATAACAGGTTTATGACCTGCCTTTTGGATCAGGAACCCCACGACCACAGCACCAAACAACAGAGCAAAGGAATTTCACAAGCCAACTACAAAGAGCCAGACAGATGTAAAATTGACACTGTTTCCCTGGGCCTGAACAAAGACATGACCAGTCTCCCCCACATTTAACATCTCATTGACATAAAAAGCTAAGCATAAGACACTTCTAGCCCATTCAATTTCCCTCATTAGCACCGGGACTACAACTGACAGATACTTAATTCTCCTCTTCCTACTTTTTCTGTTATAAATTCTGGGAATCCCCCTTTTTTCTCCACTTAAGATCATCTAATGAAGTGGGTTTTGCCCACAAAAACTCATTATACTATCCATGTATTTTTGTTCGTCTCTAAGATGCCACAGGGCTACTCATTGTTTTAAGGAAAAACAAGTTATGAAATTGACTAGGGAGGTTGTGGAATTTCCATCACTGGAGATATTTAAGAGCAGGTTAGACAAGCACCTGTCAGGGACAGTGCTTGGTCCTGCCATGAGGGCAGGGGACTGGACTTGATGACCTCTTGAGTTCCTTTCCAGTTCTAGTGTTCTATGATTCTATGAAAACCATTTACAGGTTGCTAACTTGATCACTAAGCCACTAAGCGTACATCTACACAGCAACATTATTTTGAAATAACTTAGTCCGCGCCTACACAGCCGGCAGTTATTTCGAAATTATGTCAAAATACTGGCAAGCGGGAGGACTTCTTACTCCGACTCCTGTAACCCTCATTTTACGAGGAGTAAGGGAAGTCAGAGGAAGAGCGCACTATTTTGAAATAAGTGCATTATAGATGCTCCCAATTTCAAAATTAGCCACTTTGAAATAAGCGAGGCAATTGAAATAGCTCAATTTGTGTAGCTTATTTTGAGTTAAGTCCTGCTGTGTAGATGCACCCTAAGTCTAATAAAAGCCATTAGTGAGACAATCTGCACTTTTAAAACAAATTTCCACTTAATATTTCGAACTTCACATACAAGAAAAATACATGCACAAACATAGGCTATGCGGAATCAGGGGATTCCAACTTTAAAAAATGATGTTACTTTGGACACTTTGCTTGAAGTATCTAATATTCATAAATCAGTTTTCATAAAGCAACACTTCAACTGCTTAGTGGGTTGTTAGAGAAAATTTAGGGGTCAATTAGAGCGAAATAATGGCACAAAACACTAAGAGCCAGGACAGGGAGTTGTAAACAAACTTTATGGAACTGCGAGAAACTTGGCCACACCCATGAAATGTGGACATTCGACTCACTAAAATCATGCTGGATTATGGATGTTTCTGGACTAGAGAGGCTCAGCCTATAGTAAGAATTAAGTAGCTGGTTATCTCCCTCCCCCCATTCCCCTTCTGTTCTGAAATTTGATGTGTCCTTTTCATATGTGTTCATTTTTTTAATTGTATCCTTTGGTATATATGGTTGTGACAATTTTCTTCCACTATTTGATCTGAGGAAGTGGGTCTGGTCCACGAAAGCTCATCACCTAATAAACCATCTTGTTAGTCTTTAAAGTGCTACATAGTCCTGTTTTTTGTTTCAAAATCTGGTGGATTAGCTTCATGCTGCCTCAGTCCCAAATCCGTAATAATGAGGAATAATCGCATTTCCCTACTTCATAGGCGTGTATGAGGATTAGACTATTAACAACTGTGAGATACTATAGAAATAGAAATCCTATCAGTGAGGAAAAATTTGTATCTGTAGGCCTCAAAGCATTTTACCCTGGGGTAGGTGTCCTTATCACCATTTTAGAAATGGGCAAAACGAAGAAGAAAGACTTTCCCATGTTCCATGGCAGGACTGGGAATAAAGCTAAGGACTCATAGATGCATTGTCGCTATTTCATTTATTTTAGAAGATGAAACGGGACTTCACCAACATTAAATGGAAGGAAACTCACCGAGAATCCAAACGCCGCTCATAGAGAGTATGGGATGTTGGTGCTGTCCAGAAATATGGAGCCATGTTCAAGCACACATCTAAGTCCTCTGTGGAACGTCCCTCAAAAACTGCCCCTTTGGTGGAATATGATTTCACGGGGAGAGGACCTGTAGAACCTTGAACAATCACTGAAAAGTTAAGACATCTGGGAGAGAGATTAACATTTTATACCTGTAGAACCTATGAAAAAAATAGTTTTTCCCCAAAGACCTAATCCCCGATGTTTCTCCCGGTCAACAATCTTCCCTTATTATGGGCCAGTAATTAATTACCCTTTACCTCCAATCACGTTGATAGCACTAATTGGAAATGATACCAGTTGACTCAAGCATGTTGTGGATCATGCAAGCAACAAATCTTTTTGGTTAGACTTTAAAAGGCAAAATGTGCTCTTTTCCTCCATTTAGGTTCTGCTATAGAATTTATTAATTCACCATTTCTTTAGTGGAGAGACTAGACCAGTGGGTCTCAAACTATTTGGCCCATGGCCCACCCTGCTCAATGCAGACCTTTCTGTGGACCACCAGCCAACCACCGATGATGATGATATGGGTGTAGGAGAGGGTGCAGGAGCAGGGTGGGGATGTGTGAAGGGGGTTGGGATGTAGGAGCTAGGCATGAGGAGGATGGGGGATGCTTACGTGGCTCCATGACTCCCACCACTACCAACCACTGACCCCCATTGCTCTCATTGGCTGTCATTGCAGGTGAGCAGTTTCCTGGGGTGTTTTTCCTCTGGCCAGGATGGGGGTGAAGTGGCAGTATGCAGAGCCACGTCCTTCCCCCACTAGCTGATCTGGCCCAGGAGGCTCTCCACTCGTCACAGTGGGAAGCCGGCACAAACTCACGGATGGGATGGCACGGGGCTGGAGTACCAGTGCAGGCTCCCCCTGCAGCATGGGAGCGTAAGCCTGGAGCCCATAGTTCACCGGCAAGATGGTCATGGACCACACCACCGGTTGAGACTTGTGGGTCATATGCACAGGGTCAAATGTCTTGCCACCAAATTCACTGTATAAAAAAAGCATTTCCACGCCATTTAAACCACGTGGTTGCCTTTTAAAAAAAATAACACTCTCTCGGGATGGCTAGGTAGGAGCTCTGTGCTTCTTCCCGATGACTCGTCCAAATTTACCACGGCCACGTGGCCACAGGCACATGACAGCATAGTTACGGCAGGAAGGAATTATGAGCCAATGCCCTAGAACCACAGTACAGCTAGAACAGAGGGTGAAAGGAAGGAAATTTAGAATAATAGAATCCTAGGGCTGGAAGAGACCTCAGGAGGTCGCTGAGTCCAACCCCCTACACAAAATGATGAGGGGGCTGAAGCGCATGACCTATGAGGAGAGGCTGAGGGATTTGGGTTTGCTTAGTCTGCAGAAGAGAAGAGTGAGGGGGGATTTGAGAGCAGCCTTCAACTTCCTGCAGGGGGGTTCCAAAGAGGATGGAGAGAGGCTGTTCTCAGTAGTGACAGATGGCAGAACGAGGAGCAATGGTCTCAAGTTACAGTGGGAGAGGTCTAGGTTGGATATTAGTAAAAACTATTTCACTAGGAGGGTGGGGAAGCACTGGGATGGGGTACCTAGGACGGGGTGGAATCTCCATCCTTAGAGGTTTTAAAATCTCGGCTTGGCAAAGACCTGGTTGGGTTGGTTTAGTTGTGATTGGTCCTGGACTTGATGACCTCCTGAAGTCTCTTCCAGCTCCATGATTCTATGATTCTAACAAGACCAAATTCAAGTAGTAAGAGCAGGGCATTCAAGCTGTCTGATTTGTTTTCCAGAATACATAAGGGAAGTGACTGTGAGTTATATGAATGAAGAACACCAGATCATAGAGGGAGCATTGTCTACTGATAAGAGCTAGAAACAGCAAAAGAAGAATCCTACGTTCCAATTTAAGTGCTCAGAGGAAGTGATGCGTAGGTGTTACAACTCTTGTTCCTGGCTCTCTGCAAACTCCAGCAAGTGCCACCATGTCAGTTACGTTTGGCTCATGCTTTCAAGGTTTTTTTTTCAACTCAACCATAGAACTTGCTTTTGGAAAGGATAGCTCAGATTCTGGTACCCACTCAATTCCAGACACCCGGCATCTGAGTGAAGCCCGGCAGGTGATGAAGTCCACAGGTGTGGCAGAGTGAGGGATTCTGGCATCTACTGCTCCTCTCGGTGCCTAACACCACCATGGCTTGCCTTTTGGCTTCAACAATGTTCCGGCCAATGGGAGGCTGGCAGTCCAGATGCAGCTCATGCTAAAACCCCAGACCTTGTTGAATGCTTACAATACATGCTGGGAGTCATGGAATCATAGAACACTAGCACTGGAAGGGACCTCGAGAGGTCATTGAGTCTAGTCCCCTGCCCTCACAGCAGGACCAACCAGCATCTAGATTACCCCTGACAGGTGTCTGTCTAGCCTACTCCAATGACGGAGATTCCACAACCTCCCAAGGAAATTTATTCAGACCAGTTGAACTGTTCATGAGTATGGATCAAAGTCATAAAGAGTGCATTTGGTGCTTAAAAGTCTTGAAAATAATTGGCATGTTGTATGCATTGTTTCCCCATATCTGTATCCATATCTGTTTCCCCATATCTAAATCCTGTTATAATGTAGTAGCAGACACTTGATTTGGGTGTAGCCCTGTC